ATCTTTTCTACTCTTCCCCAGCCTGTTGTAATCATATAGGAGTGGGGAAGGTTTGAGTGACAGAGTGAATTGACTGGGCCAGTGTGATGGGTATGAAACCATACCTCAGGTTTTAAATGTCCCCAGGTACACAGTGGCCTTAACATTTGTGAAAAGTTTAGAATAACATGACTGAATAACTGAGCTAGAAGGGCCTTTATCACAGGGGGTTAAATATACAGTGGGGAAAATAATTTCTTGGTCCCCTGCTGAATTTGTAAGTTTACTCACTTACAAAGAAATAAACAATCTCTAATTTTATGAAAATTTCATTTTAATAAAGAGAGACAATACCAACCCAAGCTTTACATAAATTACATAAAAGTGATAAATTGATTTGCATGTCATTGTGTGAAATAAGTATTTGATCTCCAAGCCAAACATGATTTAGTACTTAGTGGAGAAACCCTTGTTTGTAAGCACAGCGGTAAGATGTTTCTTGTAGTTGGTCACGAGGTTTGCACACATCTCAGGAGGGAGTTTGGCCCACTCCTCTTTACAGAAAGTCTCTAAATCATTTAGGTTTCTTGGATGGTGCTTGGTAACTTGAATCTTCAGCAGCTCACTCCATAGATTTACTATAGGACTGAGATCTGAAGGCTGGTTAGGTCACATGACCTTAATGTGCTTCTTCATTAGCCACTCCTTAGTTGCCTTGGTGGTATGTTTTGGGTCACTGTCATGCTGGAAGACCCAGCGTGGGGGAAGGAGGTTTGCATCCAAGATTTTACAGTTCATGACCTCATGTGCCTTCTGGAGCACGGGGACTTTGCAGGCGCAGCAAGATTTCAATCCATTACGGCGTAGTGTGTTGCCAATGGTATTCTTGGTGACTGTGGTCCCAACTTCCTTCATATCATTAACAACTTTGCTGAGCAAAGTAGCATTGGGATGATCCACCACCTCGCTCTCTTTCTTTCACTCTCTTTCAGCTATTTAGACAGCCTCAGTGTCTCTGCACAAAGACACTTACTGTAGAGCGTTCATTTACCTTCGCTTCAGTCATCTTTAATTCCAAGCTAATTTATGTGAGCTCTCTGATGACAGCTGACAGCCATATCATGCCGTTAAAACTGTGGCAAATATCTCTGCCAGTGTGTTGCTAACACAACAACCACCAGCCATCCTTCATCAAATTTGTGCGAACCGCTTGAGAAAGCTTTCCGCTGTGATTGCACCACCAGGCACTCTGCCTTTTGAGAGGTTCTGCTTCTGCTGTTTCCATATTGTCTTTTATGTTTGGCTTTAGTTTTGTGTTATGCTTTCAGATTTGAAAAGAAAAACTGAATAATGTTGGCTTAGAACAGTTCAATATATGACCCAATTTTCTTTGTAGCCTGTTTTCTTTCACTTCTCTGTTCTCTGCCTGTAATGTCTCATCTCAATTTTTTTTTCTGTGTATCTCAGTGAAGTCTCTCTTTCTTTTCATTTTTCCATCCTGCTTCTTCTTTTATATTCTCCAATTTCCCCAATCTCAAGCATAGCTTTCTGTTTCTGTACTGGTTTATCTATCCCACCTCCAGTACTTCTGCATTTCTCAGTTGTTTTGTTTCCCATGTTTCTTGTCTGTTTTGCCTCACCTCTGTCTCCTTCCACTTTCACTCCACCAGATCTGTCCAGAGTCAAGTTGATGAGGTATGAGGACCCTTTGCTCGGCCCTCGCCGGCTGCCTGTCCTGGGACAGGAGGAACAAGGCAAACTGCTCATCTCCAACAAATCTGTGTTCAACATCAATCTGGAGGAGAAGAAGGTCACTCTGGCTGACAACGGCCTAACTGTAGACATTGGCGACACTCTGGTTTATCTGGTTCATTAGAATAACATTGAACACACACACACACACACACACACACACACACACATACACACACACACACACACACACACACACACACACACACACAGAGGTGAGGGGGCATGTTCAGTAGTTGTTGAGCTTTGTTGAAGATTCAAATGCATCAAGAAATGTTACAGCAAAACAACTCATTTTGATTTAAAGCATCAGGGCAGCAACTCAAAGCTGTATCTGTTTTATAATTGATATTTCTGTTTGTAAACTGATGAGTGCGACATCAGGAAATTCTGAAACTTGCTGGACCTAAAATGATGGCTTCTGTCTTCTTTTCTTTAAAACAAATTCTATATTTGTAGTACATCCACATCTGCCTCTGGGCTATCCCTCTGGTACAGTTTTCTCCTTAAGAAGTCAGTATTGCAAAACAGTTATAACAAAATACTGCAAACTTATCCTAAAAGTTTTGACCTTTTTTGTCATGGTTGCAATCAAGGACAGCACTAGAATTTGTCATCTGTTTTGCAGGACTCAGGAACTCAGTCAGCGGTGTCCATATTAAAATCGTCTGTAGAGTTTATTCTCGTCACAGAAAACCACTGTTTTGATGTATGTTTATGTTGTGAGACTGCTCCTGCATCCTCCAGAATGCCTGATGGTTTCATACAGAGGGTAACGTGCCTTGTGTTGTTTTATACATCCAAGGTGAGGCGCATCGTTCCCTTATGTTTGTCAGCCTGTCAGACAGCATTCCTGTTTTCTAGCTGTGGATGGTGCTTGTCTGGCTTTTCCAGATGAATAATAAAACCTATGAAACATTAAACCTCTGTGGTGTTTGTCTCCCTCTAACCCCTATGCTGGCAGTTGCGCAATAAAACAAAATATGTTTACTTAAGATTTATACTTATGGGCATGTTTGAGATCTCTGTGCTTTTCACACCTCTGTTAGCTTCTACTCCATCACATCTCACAGGGAGCTAAAGTGTTAGTGTTAGTCAAGTGTTAAAATTAAGATTCATGAGTTAAATCTAGATGTCTATAGTGAAAGGTTAGAGGTCATTTGAGGAGTAAAGCAGCCTGGATCCAACTACTGTACAGCCAATATCTCTTCTGTTAATTCACCAAATCTTTGTTCTAAAACAAAATATAAACACACTGTGCATGAGGTTACTCTACCTCTTTGTCAGAATCAACCAACAATCTTGCAGCTGAAAAATTGAGTCTGAGAGTCTCATGTTAAAATGTCAAACGTGCAATATTTGGGGAAAAAAAATCTTTTTTACAGCCTGATGGAAATAGATTTGATTGACAGGTCTCCCAGCACACCATCCAAGGTGTTTGTCAGGCCTGAAAACTGCTCTCACTGCATTTGTGCTTTTGGTCCCTTTTGGAACATTTTTAATGGAATTAACCTCCACAGGCTGCTCATATTTAATGCTTTCACAATATAGTCCAGAGCTTTTTAAAGTGAAAATGGTGAGAAAATTCAATTGGAATTCAATATTTATCACCATTATAATAATTGAACTCTATGCTCGCTGATTGCAAAAATCCTCACAACTATCAATAATGAACAAAAATTGCTTATTGCGAGTAAATCTGTGCACTCAACGCAGTAACAGGACATCTTGCATGTGTGGAACTTGTAAATACATTTCCCACTCTAATATTATGACCTCCCTCAACCACTCTGTTGAGTTCTGCTCTCAGTAAGCTCAGAAGAAAATGACTGTAATTTGTTTCCTTTTAGATTATTCTGTAATGCTTCTGGTGTTTGTTGATGCAAAGGTAATATAATATAATCACATTTATTTTCTAGTCTTCCAGACCACTCAAAGAGCTTTTAACTACGAGTCACACTTGAACTATACATTCATGCAGCACTTTATTCTTTACACTTAAAAAAATGTGTCCACCTTACATCCATGGCCTTTTTAGATACACCAGTTATTTTAGCCATGTTTTTGAACTGTGGGAGAAACCAACACAGGAACAGAGAGAACATGTAAACTCCACAGAGAAACAAGTTCTGCCCCCCATCTAAGAAGTTTTGGTTTAGGTAAGTGGAATCAATCGTTTTGTGATGCAGAACTAATTGGCAGATATGTGTGTTTGTGCATGGTGCTAGCCAAGCCTGCCAGTCTTACCTTCTTGCCCAAGGATGGTAACTTCTTGTTCCAAAAAACTAAGCTGGCGTTATAGACTGACATGGAATTTGATTTAAAAAAAGATCCAAGCTGAGACCACTGTTCAGGTAAACTTAAAACATTCCAGTGTGGACAGAAAAGCACAAGCTTCAGGCCTTTATCTCTTAGAAAGGCTTTTACAGAATGACTTAATCAGGGATGACAGTGAAAATAATCATGAGAAAATGATGCATTGCTTTAATCCTGTGGACTTCAAATTAAACAGTATAATGTTTTAGTAATTTACTATGTTCCCCTTCACTTTTCTCTTCGGGTGTACTTCTGTGTGAACCGTCTTGGCGTCCAAACCATCATTAGTTTCACTACATGTCTCTCCACCACGTACAAAGTGCTGCTTGCTTCCCTCTTTCGCTTTTCGTTACCTGCTGTCAGACGTGAAATATGTCAGTCTAAATATAAAGGTCAATAAGAGAACACAGGAAATGAACACATTGCCTCTAAACATAAACCACAAGTAATTCATTGTATCTCTCACTTCCCAGCACTCCACTCTATAGACTTGTATTTCTACCTTAAGGGTAAGCGTAACATTTACTGTAAGTGGTTTTAAATTCATCAGTCACAGGTCAAACAAAAGAATAGGTTTGCTCTCTTGTTTGAGCTTATTCTTAACTTCCACCATTTATCAAACAATAAAATAATTCCTGCTTACTGCATTTCCCTCATTTTCTCAGTTTGTTTTTGGTAGGTTTCAGTTCTTTCTGCAAGATTTGAGGTCTTCTGACCTGCTGGCGTGTTCGTATTAAGTGCGCGCTTGCATCCACATTATTTTATTCCAGACATTCATGTTCATGCACCCTGATGTGTATCTGCCAAGTCTGCATTTGCTGTATTAGCAGGGTGCACGGCAAAGTCTCAGACGGAAGAAAACTACAAGACTTATCTCTGTCACACAGCTTTTGGCCGAGCCATCTGACTGCTGGTTTATCTGCTCTGATGCACACCCTCTCACTGGGAAAGTGCCACTCCGCCCCCTCCTCCACCTCCTCATTCCTGCTGACTCCCTGCTCGCTGTCCTCTCTCGCCTCGTCGTCTTACCCCTGTCTGGATGCCAGTAGCTGCTAGTCATGGAGGATGCAACAGTCACACACGAGTAAGTGTTTGTTTTTGTTTTTTTGTCCCCACCACTACACATTGTTGTCAGCGCTGAACACAATAGAATTACAGCCAACAGCTCTTTTATCTTACCCAACTTAATAATGCTGCTGTGTTTATTCTCTTCTGCCTCTATGATAAATCATAATAAAAAAAGAAACAGAAGCTTTTGAATCTGTTGTTACTGCAGCTCCTGCATTTGCACTTCTTGGATTAAAATGCCAAGCTCAATGTGATGTTTGCTTTTAATGGAGAAAAACACGAGGCCAGGTTGCTGATTTGAAATTGTTTCTCTTGCACTTGAGTAACAGTTGACATTTAGATGATGGTGAACCCATCTAACAATATATTTATTCAAAATTTAATTTCAGTGCAGAACCGTTAGTAAACATACCTTTAACATCAGCATTACAAGACGAAGAAGGGGAAAAGGTGGGGGTGTTCACCGCACCTTCAACATCTGTATTACAAGAGGAAGAAGGGGAAAAGGTGGGGGTGTTCACCGCACCTTCAACATCTGTATTACAAGAGGAAGAAGGGGAAAAGGTGGGGGTGTTCACTGCACCTTCAACATCTGTATTACAAGAGGAAGAAGGGGAAGAAGTGGGGGTGCTCACCACAGACTCAGCAATAGCATTTCAAGAGAAGGAAGTGGGGCGGGTCACCACAGGAAGTGAAGATAATTGGGGGTCAAACAAAGCCCCTGCTGCGTTGGAACCAGTAGTGACGCAGCCCGGCCTTGGCATCACCAAAACCACCATCACCACCATCACTCAGACTGGAGGGGACTGGAGCACTGGCCTGCTTGATGTCTGCAGAGACAAGACAACATGTAATGTAGACACACAGCCAGATACTGTATTCCTATGTAAGCCCAGGCCTCTCATCCACAAGACAGTAAGCAAATGTGACATTTCCTTTTAACCCTAAATAATTTAGATTACTTTATAAACACAATAATATTTAAAAAAAAAACATAAATATTGATTATTCTAAATAATAATGCCGAATGAAGGCCATAACAGGTTCAACTCATATTAGATTTTTGTCTAGCTTTTGGTAAAAAAAAAAAAACCTGATACACAAAAACAGCAACTCAGCTCATAAAAATATGGAGCAATCTAAAAGTAATGGCCATGCTGTCCAAAGAGACCATTAAAAGGGAGACGCTATAAGGTCACAGAACTTGATGGTCACACCTCATATAAGAGCTCTTCTTTAACAGCAGCTCCTCCACCTTTTGAACTTTAACTTCTTGAACTGTAAGACCATCCTTGGGTTGCTATGGTAATATAAGCTAAAAATAAAGGCCTGATCGACATAATTCCCAGCCCTCTGCCCCACTGCAATAAACTTACACTTTCTGCATTAACTCATTTGAGGAGGCTCTCCAGAGGTATGCTGTTGCCCTTCTACATAGACCTCCCTTAATGACATGCTTTCAGTTGGACAGAGGGCTGGGAATTATGGTGACCAAGCCTTTATTTTCTGTTTTTATTCCCATAGCAACAGACGTTTAATGCAGTATAGGGTGGTACATTGCCCTGCATGAAAATATATATATATTTTTTTAATATCGTGGCTGTAAATGGTCTGTAATACATAAAATATTTCACAGAGGTCACTTTGACACCCTCAGAGATCCTAAGGGGCTTTACTGTTTCACGTTGCATTATTCCAGCTCAGATCATCACTCAGCCTCTGCTGCTGATGGTGCAGTCTCGTTGGAACTAGGTGACCATTCACCAGCTATCCAGAACTCCATTCAGCTAAACCATCAGATGTACCATAGCATACAATATGAAAAAAAAAGGTTTGAAACTTAGTCTTAGTTTAGAGCCAAGTGCAAATAATTTCAAATAGCAGCAGTTTCAGATATCCATTTACTACCTTTTTCTTCTTCCAGCGGTGCTTTGCATTCTGCGTTATGTCAATATATTGAGATATAGTTAATACTATAATTATAATATTAATATTAATGAATATTACCCATTTATTTTATAGTTCAGTTGCATCATTTCAGTTTTAACAAACTTTTAATAACTCATCTCTTGCAAAAACAATTTAGTATTTAAGCATTTTTTATCACAAGATTATTTATTTTCAGCACAACTGCTTTAAGTAGCTTTTCTTTTAATTAAGATTGCGTAGAATTTTCTAAACTGAAAATGATTGGGAATATTTTGCTTTTCACTTAACTTGTTTCTACAAAATGAAGAGCCAATACATCATCATTGTCTCTTTCTAAATGTACTTTTGGATCTGACAGAGACATATACGAAGGATTTTGTCTGGCGTAAACAAACACTCATGTACCCACATGATGTGCTGCGTTGTGCTCGCAGGTATTCTCGGGGCTCTCGTGCCGTGCTGTTTAGACCTGAGTTTAGCTCACCAATACGGGGAGTGTCTGTGCATGCCTCTACTACCAGGATCCACTTTTGCCATTCGAGTTGGGATCAGAGAGCGCTACAAGATACGGGTGAGTGTGTGTCTATGTGTGTGCAGGTATACAGTATGCTGTACTGTTGTGAGAGCGTCCTTGAAGACAGAGGAAGGCAAATTTGTCAAAATGGACCCTGTTCATAACACCATAAAGTTTTCAATGAAACAGAAACTGCACCACCGCACTCAGTTTTTAGTGCTGTGACGTTTCAGCCATTTTTAAAACTCCAACTCTAGTAAATGGAAAATTGACCCTTGTGCTGCTTCTTTCTAAGTGGTTATCAGTAAAATATTCATGTTATTTGTGTAAATGAAGTTCTGTGTTTGCATTTTTCATCTTATCGTGTACCCATCCTGCTCCCACTACATTGTTGTTGTGTGTGTGTGCTTCTGTATGTGTTTGCATGTAGACATGCACTCATCTGTCCTGCATGCTTATCCACAGGGAAGTGTGTGTGAGGACTGGACTACAGTGTATTGCTGTTACCCTCTGGCTGTATGTCAGATGATAAGAGAAATGAAGTGGAGGATGAAGACTCAGACATATCATGTGTCTACTACACTCGAATGCTCCTAAAGAAACAGCAAATGAGATCTTTTTTTTTCTTCTTTTTTTCAATTTATCATAAATGTGTGAAGAGCAGCAGAGATTACTGGTATGAACAATAGGATGAATCATTACTCTGAGGTTTGAACTTGCCCCTGAGGGCTTCTTGAATAATAAAAAACAAGCCTGTGATACAAATTCTTAAAAGTGATAGAAAAGGGAAAACTTAAAGTAATGGCATACACTGTGTTAAAGGTACATCTGTAAGACGTGAACCAACACAGATGAGTTTCTTGCCTTTGTTCAATTGCAGATATTTTTAAATGTAGTTAGTTCAAAGATCGTTAAAAGCCATTAAATCTGGATTAATGCATATAGAATAATGCAGAGCAGTTTTTTTATGAAGGTATTGATCCGATTAATTATATTTGAAAGATCAGCTTAACCAACTTTTTACTGCAGCATTAAATTCCGGCACTTATAATTCTTAAATCATCTATAATTTTGGTTTTAGAAACAGCCTGGGTTAACTTCTGTGACTGAGGTAACTGCGCGCCATTTTACATAATGAAAATTTAGAAAGACTCAAGTAAGTTTAGCTTTTTACAATGCCTGTTACCTACACCACTGAAGCCGCTATCACACAGACACTTTTAACACATCAATAACTAGAACACACACAGAAACAAGATGAGCTCCTTACAGTTAAAAAAAAGGATGTGTGATTGCATTAGGAATTTGTACTTAATATTGGGAAACTTTAATAATGGAGAACAACAAAACACATCAAAACAAACTAAAACACACATTCATTAAAAAAAAAAAAACTAAATATATTCTTTCTGTTTTCGTAATCTCTTGTCAAAATATGCAGTTTTACTTTTTAATTTTTTTTATATATGTAAGGGAATTTTACTGTTTACTGGTGTTGGTGCTAAGTACCAGCCCTGCACAGGTTGGCACATAACAGGCTGATTTTTTATTTTTTTTTTTGATAATGTAATGTTTCCTCATGCGGCCATTCTGTTAGTGCATAATCATGCCTGTCTAAACTGAAAGATGATTTTATCCAAGATTAATATAATGTTTGTAATCAATACATTCATTGACTATAGTAATATATTCTTACATGTAACCAGTCTAGACTTTTAAACATTGTTCCAGTGGTTGTTCTACTCACAACAAAGCTTAACACTGTCTGCTATGTTTTGTACCTTTTGCAATTTCTTGATGTTTTAAACCTTATTGCTGGGCAATAATGAGATGAAAGCACAGACTCCATATAAAAGATATGTTTGAACATGAAGTCACCCCCTGGTGAGTGCAGAAAAATTGTGAAGCTTCAAACTGAGTGGTTTTTTTTTTTATGCTTTTACTGTCTGGGTGTTTTGAAACCAGATATGACTGATGGTTGATGTAAGTATGTAAAATGCAATTTTACTGCATTTTTTAAAGAAGAAAAGTCACAGTATAACTTAAAAAAAAGATGAAAGGGTGTTATATATAGATCAATAGAATGACAAAAAGCAGACTTGCTGGTTATCAGTAGTGTCCACTGATCCAGTGGGAGTGAGTGGTACAACCAGGATGTAAAAGCTCACTAATCTGAACATAAGGAGTTGTGAAAGTATTCACCAAAGTCTCGCAGGAACACTGGACCATTGCTCGGACAAAGAAATAATTACTTTCAATAACAGAGGTGTGATGGAATTAAAGCATGATCATTTCCACATCAGATGAAACACAATGCAATAAAGCTGGGCAATGCTCTGCAGATGATAAAAACAGTATCATACAAGACAACCATCATGTTTTATCAAACCTGAACACCTAATCAAATGTAACACCCAGACCTCTGAGGGAGGGGAAACCTCAGGATCAGATGGGTCAAGGATTGTCATTCACTATGGGAACCTAACTGTTTGTCTGTTTGTTTGCATATTTAGTGGCATAGAGTTAGGTGGCTCTGACTAAGAACCTTAAGAATACTGCAAGCTTACTGACCAGCAACTTGCCATTTAAAAAGTAAAGCTCGCCTTGCTTTGTCCTCCTTTTTGAAATGTTTATTTGCATTTCAGAGCAAAACCCCCATCAGCAACCCATCAGGAGTTGCCCCCTGCTTCATTCATAGTTTTCACATGACATCAAAGCTACTGGGACACCACGACATTAATGTGACAAATTAATACTACTGGAATTTTCTGGCCCTACAGTGTAAGTGTCAAAATAAACAAAACATTAGATCTTGTTCTTTACCTCCCACATGGAGCCATTATTTACCCATCCAGATCGAAAAAACATGTAGCTGTCTGTACTTTGAAAGCTTTCTTTGTCGCAGCAGTGTAAGGTGAGTGATTCTTTTCAAGATACACTTAGATGTCACTGAACTGGAGCTCTGAGAGAGACATCCCACTTTCAGGGATTTAAATAAAGCTGCCGGGCAAAATATGGATCACAAGCGCCAAAATTCCTAGTTTCTCTTGATATCTTAATATTTCCTCCATGGATAGATGGTACAAGTATTCTTGGCTTGATACAGGCAAAAAAAGCCCCCAAAAACACTTTTGTCCCGCAGTACTACCAACTGTCCACTATTGGCCAGCATGATGGAGTAATGTTTTGCCCTCCAGGGTAGCGAGCACTACATTGGCTTTAATTTTTTACCATATCCATTTTTCATATACAGTCTATGTAGGAGAGCAGTCTAATTCTCACTCAATACATTTATAGACATATATTTAATATATGAATATATTTAAAGTTCAATTCTTTGTAATATAATGCTTTGAAGTCATGTGTTTCAAGCTTCTTGTTTTTAAACACATTCTGAACCAATTTATTATTCTGTATTACTTCAACTGCTTGATTGCACCTCTAAATTTAAAGCCAAATTCAAATCACTGACACTGAGCCACATATATATTAAATACTGGCTGCAGTCAGGTTGTCATTTATAAAAACAGGAGGCACGATGTCTTTCCAAAAGCAATGTCCCTCGTGTTTTGGATATTAGATGTAGCTCACTGATAACAGTTCATTATTTTTTAGCTTGAAGGTTGTTATAAATTAAGTAACTGTGAAATCTCGTATGTGATATGTGTGACTCACCCGGTTAATTGTGTCTAGAATGCCAAAGGTCACCAGACCCATTAATGTGATCAGTCCCCCTGAGATGTGAAGGAAAGATGAAGTGAGGAAACATAATGCTTCCCAGACCTTGAGGCACAAACTGTGCAATGAGCAGAGGACCCTATCTGCAAATCTCATTTTAATGTCCCATTTAAAACTAAATCCAAGTAAAGCCAGGGAAGAACAGAAAGCTGTAAGCCAATTAAGTCTGACCCAAGGAGTCATTTGGTTACTTAAGTAAACATAATTGCGTTGAAGAGTTTGAAAAATATATTTCCGTGTACAGGATGAAACAAGTGTGTGAGTCCAATTGATAAACACAGCCAACTGCCTCATTAACTGACATACTGACTACTGACTACTGACTGAATAATACCACTGAGTAGTCCTGCTTACAGTCAGTTGTTGAAGTATATCATGAATATCTTGGTCCTCATGTGTAACGCAATGTAAAGCGAAACCAAAGACACGAACTCAAACAGACATTTCAAAAAACACATTTCACTTTAGAGAACAAGTCTAGACAAAATGTCTCTTTTGTGATCATTTGTGTTTGGACTATCCTATTTGACAGTTTAAAATAATATCCTGCTTCTAAACTGCTTTATGCAGCGTCCTTGAGTGAAATTTAAAAGAAAAAGAGTTTTCAGAAGTCATAATTCTTTGAAACTTGCTTCTGCAGTATGAACATATACCAAGAATTACATCACAGTATTAATAAATGTCGTTTGTTGAAATATTCCTTTATGATTCTAGTATTTCATTGGGTTGCATTTTAAAAGTTCTTTTAGCTCAGCCAGGTTTCAAACTGAGTAAAATCACCTGGAAGTATCTAAAGTTATTGAAAACTGGTCAAATTATTTAAAAGAACGGATTCAAATGCTTTGTTTCTTAACCTCCCTGAGCTTGGTTTTGCTTAAGGTTTCTTCCTGTTATAAAGGAGTTTTTCTGTCCCACTGTTGCAAAGTGCTTGCTCATAGGGGGTTTTCTCTGTATTATTGTACCGTCTTTACCTTGCAATATAAAACACCTTGAGGTGACTGTTGTTGTGATTTGGCGCTATAAAAATGAAACTGAACTGAACTGAATTAAATTGCTCAAAATAAATAATGCCATTCATACACATACACAATGTTCTTTTAATTCTCAACATCAACTTCAGGTTCTGTCCAGTCACAAAGAGGAAAAGTGCAATGTTGTTGCTTTTGTGGTTTTCTTGTATCCTTTTCCTTATAGTTGGGCTCCGTCTGGGGATGTTGTGTTTTCTGTTCCGTAGTTGTGAAATGTTGATATTTTTCGCACCTCTGGGCCGCTAATGGAATGTGATTTCCATATTGTTGTTATTCTTTTATCCATGTATTCCTCGATTCCTCCTCTGGCATTCAATCATATTATTAATCTAGTCTGATTGCAGTGGCTCCCTGAACCTGAAATGCCAACCAGAAAGAAGGGATATGAAAATTTATTTATCCGCCACACAGATGGGTCCTCAAAGGGCAAATTTGTTAAGGCTTTCCGATGTGGTCTCCCACCTGGCAGCAGCCTCGAAGGAAATAGGAGAATAGAGAAACTGATTTGCTTTCTAAAGGGAGCGATGTGAATATTAAAATGTAATCATATATTACACAAAGTCCAATTCCCATTTCAATAAGTTAATTTGCTGAATGTAAATACATTTTCTTATATCACTGCTATTCTTAAGCAGCCACGTCTTTCTTTTTGGATTGTATTTTGTGCATTTTTAATGTTTTCCCAATCCTTCTCCTTAACCAACACTTAATTAATCACTATTAGACTAAGAGTGGAATAGTGCCTGTTACATAGAAGATTTGCACATTCATTTTAAAGCAGGAACAAATAGATTAAACACAATGATGTGCAATCATTTTCTGCCAATAATTGCTGCATATAAAACAAAACAAAACATTGCTTTGCATTTTGCTGGGGTTACCTGCCAGTGTGCATCCTACTGTGGACACTGTGATTTCACATTCTACACAGACGACCATAAAAACAGCTTGAACCTTGCTTCTGTGTACCCAAGCACATCAAAGAAACAAAAGAAAACAGATGAACGCTGGCAACAAAGCTTACAAAGTCCCATTTGAAAATAATAAAATAAATAAAACCATTTCAGCCTAAAATATATCATTCTGCTGCAGACGCAGACTCTGGTGCCATCCCTGTTTCTAAACAATACCAAGTCTGTACTATAATTGATAACACCCACATTGTTAGTAGCTCTGTTGTTTTTTTGTTTTGTTTTTTTATTACAACTGCACCATAAAATCGTTGCCACCTTAGTACAGTCTTACTTGCTTTATGTCTGGATTATGCAGAGATTGATAAATCCTCCCACGGATTCGCTGCTCAGTACCTATTGGTGAACTGGAACTGCCTCGAGCCAACTTGCAATGAAGCACTACTGTAATTTCCTTACATACTTGTGTAGTAGCAGTGCTGCTAATATTTCTTCTGTTGTGCCAGATTTACTCAGCTGAGCTAGTGCATTTTCTTAGAGTCCTTTAAATGTAATAAACTTTTGATAAACTTTATTATTTTGTCAGCCCCATTTGTATCAGTGAAAGGATAAATGGGGCTCACTATACTTTCATTTGAAATAACCATAAAGGACAATCAGCACCTGAGTAAAACAATTGCAAGAGAAATTGAACAAAATGACCTTCACAAAATGAAAGGTTTACTGCCGGACTGTATGATCTGACTGCATTCTTTTCAGTTAGGTGCACATAATAAAATGGCAACTCACCGTATAATGAATTACTTAGTGTTGTTTTATGGAGCAGGCCACAAAATGTCAAGTGGTATCAATTAAACGTTACAGGCTTACAGTTAAACCTCAAATACATCTTTAACCCATGACTAGATCAACGAGCACAGCCTTGCCTTACGTCATCTCTACCAGATACACCTCCAGGTCTGAGCCATTAGGGGACAGTGTTGCCCCAGATCACGGTGCATCTGTCTGCTTGTGATTCCTGCAGCTTCTCAGTGGGGTGAAATCAGTCTTTAGTGCTGATTTGGGGTCACAGTTGGGATTTCCAGAGCAGTAGTAGAGGTCAAGATTTGGAACAGTGGAGCTCTATCTAAGTCAGCAGTCAGACAGGAACCATAAAATATATCTCTGCTGATGCTCTTTCCTGCTGTTTCAGCATGAAGACGACTATCCCTACAGATGCATCAGG